ATCAGACGGCAGACATAGAGTAATCATTAACAGCTATATTGATAAATTAATGATCATACGATTCTCACTCTTCAACTAAAATTACACCTATTAATCGCATTAACGTACAATGTTATGTCCATAGGTACTATTCGATTAATTATTGTATATTCCGTAGTCATTCAAATTGCTGAGTAAAAAAAAAAAAAAAAATTATTAACATAAAATCAGTATTATATAACATTAGTTTCGATGAAGTAAAAGTTACGGCTCATATTCCGTGTTTTGTGTATATTATTGCGCGAAGGGACTCGCTTCTCACAGGAAGGCCGAGCTGTAAGCCTAATAGTATTTAATGGTAATATTACTGACATAATTGACAATTGTTAATACTCACCTAGTCGAATATCATGTCCAAACGGATGTACTTAATAAAAACTTTATTTAATACCTAATATTTTACATATAAAATTTAACTTTATATAAATTATATTTATTTACAATTTTGTGATTTAATAGTTTAATTAATAGTATTGTCATACTTGAAAAATATTGGATATTGTTTAATAAATAGGACGGTCAATTGTTTTTTGTTAGTTTGGAATACCCACGGGTATCATTAAAAAAACCACAGTTGCTTGTCGACCGCCATAGAAAGTGTTTATGGAATAAAGTGTACTTAATCATAAAATAACCGTATTTTAAATTCTACAATCCCTCGATTCTGAAGCTACTCCTTTAGTATTCATGAATGTACATACACAAAAGGTCTTTCTATAGACTAGAATCGTGTCATTGGGCGATCCATTCTCTCTCTCTGTCTATCTCTGTTTACCTTACAGGGAGCTCCAAAGGAGATCATTAACCGATTTTATGGTGTGGATTATGTAGATAACAGATATTAGCTAATTAACATATTTGGTGCAGACGGTGCGCAGGCGGCGGCAGCGCGGTCTCGCTGCAATTAACTGCATGGTTAATAATAATTAGCGACCGTTTGATGTCGGCCGCGTCCTGCGCCCGCGCCGTGTGCGGTACATTATGCGGGTGCTTGTAAGTACGTACATTACATACCTATGTCACGAGTACCTGCGTCTGCGTCTTGTAACTATAGTCCATCTGTTTAGGTAATTAACTAAAGGTAAACAAAGAAAACCACGTGACACAGAGATACTTAACGTACTATTACTTCAAATATATCTCGTGTTTTAATTTTAGCTAAATTCACTTTAAAATCGTTCATTTGTCATACACACACATACAAGTACAAATGCCTAAATCGTACAAGAGCCTAGCCTATGGGTCTATTTCATTATCATGTTTAAATAGAAACTATTCTGAATCTGATGTACGGATTTCTTTCTTGTACGGATATCTGTCTTTGGGCCAAGTTTCTTCAATATATTTGAACACATTAATTACAAACGATGAATAACCTAGACTTAAATAACTTAATAACAAAAACAAAACAAAGAAACAAGTTTAACTCAACAAAATAGGAACGCGAGCGCAAACGACGAGAGAGCTGTCAATGGCGCCTGATTAACCGACCAAACGTAATACACGCTACTTTCATTGTCGCGCTACATCTTAGTTGTACTCTTTAATTTGACAACATTATTTTGCTTCGTTCTTAAAGAAAAGTTTTGGATACCTGGGATTTTAGGCTCTTTATGGTGTCTATTGTAATTAAATATTATATTATTTAATAAATGTTATTAAATTAATATCCTCAAGCAGATGTATATAATATTTACTAAGAAATAAGTGAATAGGAACAGAAACATAACATTTAATAGTGAAAACTGTCGTAAAAAGGGAAACAATTTTATTTTCTTATGAAGTATTTTGAATCATGGAAATGTCAACTATAAAGAACTCTTTTTATGGTTTGTTTACAAATAGTTAACTACCTAAACAGATGGAGTATAGTTCGAATCATGTTTTCATCTTTACACTTTTATACATACACTACGTCAAACTTCCACACTGTAGTTTTGTTAAGGAATCGCTTTCTTAACAAATACTTAAAGCTGACAAACAAGTATTATTTTAAACGTTGGTGCTTAACTTAGCCACCAACGTGGAGGTAAGCGTTGTGACACTCCTGCTTACCTCTATAAACAACCTATTCACTCAAGATTGCTCTGGCAAGGCACTCCACTCCCTAGCAGTTCTTAATTTCTTATTACTTTTTTGTATGTGATGTGTAGCCAATTCACATACCAAGGTAACAATCAATTGACATTTCAGTTACTACGGCAGTAATGAAGGACGCAGTAAAGAAGTCATAGTGAAGGAAGCGACGTCAGATCAGAGGACCAATTATATTTGATGGAGCGGTGCGCGACGCAGCCACTGTACAGAGATTGGGTTGGCGCTGGGCATCCTAGCAGGTCAATACTGTGTCGTGGTGGCCCGGAGGTTAAGACGCCCGCTTCCAACGGCAAGTACTAATGTGACTTTTCCGAGTTATACGTAATTTCTAAGATTATTTAGACACCGACCGTTGAAAAACCTGGATTTATAAATTCTAATTGTGAGTTTGAAATCGCCGACCCGTAATGAGCAAGCGTGGTGATTAATGCTCAAACCTTCTCCGTGTGGCAAGAGGCTTTGCTCAGCAGTGGGCACTTATAGGCTGTTGATGTAGGTATGCACCTCTATGTATGTATATATGATGTAGGTCAATACATAGGTAAGAGGTGTCCACTACATGGCACACGGGGCGATGGAGACGCCACATCGGATCAATGGTCCTGTGAACTCCTGTGTGACCGGAGGCAGGCGATGGAAGGAAGTGGAACTGTGATGGCGACTGACATGACAACGTCGACATCACAATGTGCTCTATTACTAAGTAAGTACCTATCAGGTACTTCGTACTTGTGTTGTACATGACTTGTGCTGGATTTCGTCAATGATCAGCACGCACTTGGAACTTATTGTAACTTCTATTAATGCAGTGCTTAGTTGCAAGCAATTGTAAATAAAAGTAACAACGCGGTTTATATGTATGTACTTCACCAGTCAGCTAGTTACTAGCGTTAGTTAGACCAGGCTCACAGTCCGAGTGCTAACGGCAGCGGTATATAAGTGGCTTGTATCGACACAGACAATTAGTGGACAATAGGAGATCGTAATTAGAGCAACATAGGCGTGCCGGCGGGCGCCGTGATTGGTACGCGCGCCACGCCCAGCGAGGTGCGACCAATAGGCACGCGGCTCGTGCTCACAGCGCCGGCGTGCCAGCGCGCAGCGTACGAAGCGCAGCGCAGCACAGCGTAGCGTAGCGTAACGTGGTCAGCGTCAGCCACTCCGCAGTCCACATTTTCGCAGCTCAATGTTCCACTTACTTAGTTATTGTCTTTATTTATGATTGCGGCATACTGGTTGCATTCAATTAACGGAAAATCACGAGTTAGAAATATAGGTTTTACCCATTTTTACGACGATCTGTGTTACGTGCTAATTATATAAATAAACGAACAAAGTTAAAAGTAATGTCTTAGTCTATATAACACACCAGACTGGGAGTCTACAACAAGAAGAGAAAGTCTTTAAAATAACTAATTGAATTGGAAGTAAATGTTTAAAGATAAATGAAATAAAATAAGTTTAGTAGATTCCTAGGTCCCATGAGAAATACACTGACGGGGACTTTAGTAAGCTCACCGCGATACTTTAACTTAGACATCGGCTTCACTCAATTAAACATATTTAAGTTGATACAGTATATACGTACATACTAAAGGTCACGTTTCATTTAAGTATGTATTTATGTATAGCTTTAAGTGTGTGTCTATTTTATTATTTAAGTAATAAATTCTACGCCTTCCAATAGTGTTTGGCAATTAGTAGTAACATGATATTGTGCTACGTGGAGGGGACAGGCGAAGAGTGCGCCCCGTGGCGGACATGTCGCAGCGTCCCATGTGTGTATGGTGCGCTGGGTGCTGCAGGAACCGGGCCCAAGTGATTTGACAGCGTTATCGGGACATCGCAACCATTTGTCAGCAGTCACCCGTGCTGCAACGCATACGAAGGAATCTGTGACACATTGCTCGTCATTAAAAGCTATACCTACGGGTAAGTGTCATTGTCGTTACAATCTGCCTGCAACCTAGTTGTTTTGTGTCGAGATGTGAAATCTAAAATTCTTTGTTAATTTCATATTTGTTAATCAGGCAGCCATCGGATTAAGTAGGAGTATAATAAAAAGATCAAACATGGTTATGACCTGTGAATGTGACAACTGGGCACATTAGACACAGCTCCTGAATTGGTACCACTTTTTATTTCGAGGTATACTAGTATACACATACGAGTAGAATACATAGATTACATGTAGAGTGTTCATACATTCATGTAACGTGTGATATATAATAATGTTATGTAATGGCGTGGTGTGCGCTACTATTCCTAACATCGCATCGAGTTGCGTCGTGAACATGCCCTGGCCCTCGTACGTGGTGCTTGGTGGTGTGCTCCATTTTTTGTGCACGCGAGTGTAACACGAGCCGAGTCGCAGGGCTAGCTGTACAGAGTTTAGAACTGCTCAAACACACTGCGAGTGCTAACAGAAGCCCAGTATTCAAGCTTGCTTGCGTTACATCAACGATTCTAGATTAAATTGTATTGTTTAATATTTCTGAATTAAATGAATGAACAGATTCTGATGAAGTAGCCGGTTCCCACTCGCAGTACTTGCACTAGTAATAACAAAGTGAGGGAAATTCCTCTGATTATAGTTATGTTATCATATTACAGTTAATTAATAAGTAAGAACATACTTAATCATAAATGCAGGTTTCTATTTTAGGCGGAACTAAAATGTACCTAGGTACATGAGAACACTAAGTATGAGTTTATTTTATGTAAGTAAATGTAATAGGAATAAATAAAGGGGAATTTTTTACTACACCTCCATTTAGAAATTTAAGCAAACCAAATTTCTCAACTAATAACCTACTGCATATGAAAAAGATGACTGTACTAGAAATTAACTACATATTACTCACCGTAAAACGAAAATACTGATTTGCACACAAATTGTTCAATATTACAACGGAATTTCCAAAATAGGTTAGATTAGGAATTATTAGACTTACTTTTAGTTAAAAGATCTAAGAGTAGGTATAGTATAATTGATTTATTTGATGAGCAAATGACAACGCCAGATCCTAACCCAGTCATATTATCATTTACAAAAAAGTAATGTGATGAAAATAATTATGACGAATAAGGAACCTTTTCACAATAAATCTTTTTATTTTTAAACTTGCGATTTACAATTTAATAAAAAAAGAAGTTTAATCCCGGAAATACTTTTTTGCAATGCGTATGATTACGTTTACGTGCGTTCCATATTGTCTGATGACTATTTGCGGCATTGTCCTTTAGTGTGCAATTCAGTATTTTTGGTGGTAATTTCGAACATTTTGATTGAAAAAAGGGAATAAAATACCACCCATTAATAAATAAAGTTAAGCACAAATGTTGCGAAGTAATTTGGTGTAAGTGAACCTTCTGTTGGAGGCGAGGGGCCTGCTACCTGCCTGGACAGATTGTAGAGGCCCGTCAGTGTCAGGTTGCAACCTGAGCGACCTCTGGCGGCCAGGTAGGTATCTCACGCAACATGCGTAGAATATACTGTACTGCCGGGGCGACATATGAACGAGTTTGATGCTGTATTGCACGCGGACTTTATAATACTTATATTCAAAGTATAATTAATCTTACTTACTCTCTATATGGCACCTAGATGATCTACCCACCTGAACGAAGACGACCGGTTCAACTTGGAGTAGAACTCTTTGCATGAGTCTGTGTGTCCAGAAGGGTACAACCTGCATGTTTTGATGTCTCGAGTGAGTAGGTTGCTTATGGGCAGGCTTGCTCTATAATAGGTTGCATCATCGCCTTCCGTCAAGCGGTGTAGTGTCTAAACGCCGACCATATAAGCATATAATGTAACCGTGCGGGTTAAAATATATGTTTTGTTTTCACAATTTATGTTTACTAGGTTTTCCCCCGGCGTGGCCCGCGTATTCCTGTTTTATCCCATGGGAACATTTAATCGGGATAAAAAGTCATCCCATCATCTAAGTCAGTCGATACCCTGCATGTAGGAATACCAAATTTCATCAAAATTCGTTCAGTAGTCTCAGCGTGATTGACTGACAAACATCCAACCAAGACAAAAGACCAAAGACAAAGTCTATTACAATACACAGCCTAATTACAGTCTACTTGCGGGCAAGGTATTAGTAACAACATAACATAACATAACATAACATCACGCCTTTTGTCCCCGAAAGGGTATGCAGAGATGCACATTATACCACTGTACAATGTAACACCCACTTTTCACTATTTATGTTATGAGTCCCATGTAATAGGGGGTGAGCCTATTGCCATATACCGGGCACAATTCCAGACTCCGTGCTACTACTGAGAATATTTGAAAACCCAGTAATACTTTGCCCGACCCGGGAATCGAACCCGAGACCCGTTGCCCGGCAGTCGCACTTACGGCCACTCGGCCAAAGAGGCAGTCCTTAAGGTATTAGTAACAATTATTCGAAAAGCCCGAATAACCCAATACTGTCGGTGTGCTCGGTCCGGTAATCGAACGACGACTAACAAAGCAATATTTGATGACTGTTTCATAAAGGAAAGTACGGAGGTTTCCATACTTCCTTCGGAGGTGTCCTGTATGCACGGCACGGTGGACGTTCACACAGCGGCACGTCCTGCTTGCTGGCAGTAATTACACAGGCTGCGCCCGCGCCGCTGTTATTACAGCCGCTGCTCCCTCGTGCACGTTGCGTTGGTTTGTTCAGATCCAGACTTCACGTCTACGACCTGTTCCCAACAATGCATAATTACCTCTAACTATTGTATAACAAACCCCGAGAAACTCAACTACAACGCGGGTCAGACATAACTTACTATCAGTATTCAATATTCAGGTGTTTCACATTACTCAATTTTTTTATTGCTTGTGTTACTTCTTTATGACTGCCTCATTGGCCGAGTGGTCGCAAGTGCGACTGCCGGGCGAGGGGTCTCGTGTTCGATTCCCGGGTCGGGCAAAGTATTACTGGGTTTTTAAATAAAAATCAGTAGCACGGAGTCTGGAATTGTTCCTGGTATATGGCAATAGGCTCACCCCCTATTACATGGGACTCATAACATAAATAGTGAAAACTGGGTGTTACATTGTACAGTGGCATAATGTGCACCTCTGCCTACCCTACCTTAAAGATACGGACCTATGAGTTTGTTTCGGTATTTCTTCTCAGAGTACTCAGTTAGGAAATGTCGACCTCATCGTTCGCTTGATAAAATTGACGAGTAAAAGTGCTGCCTTGTAGCCTATTTGCAGAAATAAATTCACTTGTTTCACTTGTTTTAGCCCTTCGGGAATAAAAGGCGTGATGTTATGTTATGTATGTTACTTCTTTATTGCTTAAGTAATAATCGCGCATGGATGATGTTACCGGAGGCCCGATACCTCCCCTCCTCAAACTCCCCAACCCCGAATCCCCGATCTTCAAATCCGTACATCCAGAAGGCCGGTAACGCACATGTGGTGTGTCGTGTTACCTCTGTCGATTGCTTACCATCAGGTGATAACAAAAGCATATTACATTCTAGTTTGATAATAAAAACTTGGTACTAGGATTAAGTCGCAGGAGGAAGGGACCAGACGACGATATATTTTCGTCATTTGGGTAATATCTATTAAGTATTACACATGAGGCAGGCTTTTCAGTCAGTCGGTGGGAAAAGTCATTTAATGATTGTACCTACCTCCACAAAAAATACATACGTAAATACCTAGGCACCCAAATTCGCTCGTTATATATTAATTTCCAAGCATTCGTCACCATGTGATGGTGTGTCTGCAGTCACCACCGTCACTATGAGCTAATCGAGTGCTAAGTAGCAATGTGTGATGTCGGTGTGCCGGTGTGCCGCACTGCCCGCGCCTCGTGGGAGCGCAATCATTTTACTTTTATCTGTGGAGCTTTTAAAGCAAAAAGCTGGTCGCAGGTTGCGCGGCGCGCGGGCGGCAGTAAGCGCTCGCCGCCCGCCGCCGACCGACGTGCGCGCGCACGCCACGCCTCATTGGTCACTTCAAATGACAACCGCTGAAATTTGGCGGTCGCGAGTGTCCGCGAGTGGATTGTGACTTGTGTGTGCGTGTGTGCGTGGTGCAGCGCCGAGTGCGCACAGTGCGCGCGAGCAGGGACGCGACTGGAACTGCCGGCGCCTGCAGCCAGCACCAGGCTGCTGCAGCGGATGAAGAGATAAATCTTGGTGCGTTGACCGGGTGCAAGTTCGACGGCCCGCAGTATTATTTGTGTCGTTGCGAGTAAACGGTAACTATTTATTAGTGCTAGGTGCAGGGATACGTGTAGTGCAGGAATCCGGTCCATTTGCTCTGTACTGTAACCGCTCGCCCGGCGCCCGCTCAAAACCACTCCAACCTACTTTCTCTAGCAGCTAACAACAATGTTCTGTCTAAGAGAGCTTTACATCACTTAGGTTTCGCTTACGTTAGCCATAAAACAATATTTATGAACGCATTTGATTGACTTCATCCTTTGGTAGTGGCACATAGGCCAAATGTTTTAATGGAAACAAAAAGTTTTAGGTACACAATCCGACCTCATCGTTCGCTTGAGTTCGTTCGTAAGAGTGCTGCCCTGTATCCTATTTGCAGAAATAAGTTCACTTGTTTCACCTATTTGTGATTAATTACACAACTTGTCACTCAATGAAGTGTAAGCAACGGTTGCTGCGTTGTTGCAAAAAGCTTTACATCGAGTGTGTAGCGCGAACCCCGCGAAGCAAACACCCTACTCTAAAGGAACTTTTGAGTTCAATTCTTATAAACACCATTATGCTCAGTTTACTAAGTGCTGATAGATCTACAGTGCAATCATCATCGGTCACATAAAAAGTAAAGATGTCATCAAAATAAAATTATACCTGGTTGTTTATAATGTAGTACTAGTACCACAACAGGCAACTTGAATGGAGGTCCTCGATGCGCAAAATGATCAGTTGTTTGCAAACGAGGCCGCATTTAGTTGACGACTCCATCATAGCTGAGAGAGGCAAGTGACGGGCACAAGGCAGTGTAACAGCCGCGGTCGACCAGTGCGCTGTCATTTCGACCGCTTCACTTGAACACCCTTCATTAGCGATGCTCAGCTGTAATTTCTACACTGAACATAACCTCTGGGAAGAGATTTGTTAAGATTACCAAATATTATCACGATTGTGCAGCTCAGCAGAGTGAGTGTACATTGTGTTTGTCAATGGACTAATAAAGTAGTTTTAATAGTGTCCGGTTGGAGAGAGCTTATTGTCACCTCGTGCGGTTTCTGTTTGTTGCACAAGCACTCAGCGCACTAGAACAGCGACTTCACGGTGGTTGTGAGATCTGTGAGTCGCGTCGCTGGGGATTGAGCTTCCGGTAACTTCCCTTACCCGGCGAAACACAACGCATGCGTTATTTTACGCCGGTTTTCCATGAGTCCGTAATACCACTCCGGTCGAGCCGGCCCATTCGTGCCGAAGCATGACACTCCCACACTTAAAGAGTGATAGTCACACAAACACGAGTTATTGGTAGTCCTCCCTCAGTGGTAGTGGCTGGTGTGTGGTGTGTAACGCCTAGCGTAAGGTCAAGTGCAGGAACCCGCGCGTGCAAGGTCGTCGCACGCGCAGGTGCGCCCGAGTCGACCAGTAAAAACTGGCCAAGTATGTGTGGAGGACTGGAGGTACACGGTTCCGTAGTCATCCCTAGTTTTCTGAACATATTTTAGGTAGGACTACCTCGTTATCGACTGTGATTGTCAAGTAGCATATGTTAGGTTCAATTTTCAGGTTAAACTAAGATTCAGTACTTTATGGTTTTTGGGGACACAGGTTTTGTGTTCAGTAGATTCTGAATAGCTTTGATTAATAACTAAAAGTAAGTAGCACTATTTAGTAAGAAGCTCTCGATAACTCGATACCGAGTTTTGTATACAACTGGGATGATCCTAGAGTACTATTACTTAGTTTGCGCAAAGGTACAAGTACATTGGGAGTTTTTTTTAACAGTCGTAACGGTAGAAATCCCAATTACAGTGACTGACAGTAATTACGATAAGACCAAACAATGTAATTCGTTATTTGGATTTTCAAAGAATCAATTACCCTTCGACTCGGTTATCTTTGGCCATATTGATTCGAGCAAGGACACAGGCTGCATGAGGCGACACGGCCCGCTAATGTGTCTACAATGAGTGCTAGCAGCCGATGTTTGCTGAGCCAACACACACTGCTCGGACCTCAAACACGTCGCGCTCTGGATTATACGAGAGATGTCACTCAGTAAACAATCGCTTAAAACGGGATACTGTCTTAGGATATCTATGTCTTTGTAAATAAACTCACAACTGAGATATAATTGATCTGTTTGACTTAGAATAATAATTTAATAATGAATATCAACTTAAAATTAACGTAACAACAGAGTATAAACTTTGAAAATATGATCAAAGGAAATGATATAACTATGATCCACTCGAGATATAAGCGAACGTTAATGTGTAGACATATCACATGAGAGGAGGTAGGTGTAAGCTTCCACTGAAGGCCGCGGAGTACAGCGCACAGCGCACGACGTGACAGACTTGTGAACACGTTGCAGTCGACGGCCCGCAAGGCCGCAACATTAACACGAAGGCCTAACTTCGTCTCCTGTTTCGTTGCGTGAGACTTTGTTGCTCCGGCAACAGTTGCTTGCGTCCGATCCGTTCGGCCTCTGCGACGGTGTCGGGTAGCTCAGACCGAGCTGTCTCCGGCATGAGCAGCGTCAGTGAGCCCGCCACTACGGACGTCACGCCGAACAGAAATGTTGGAAGTCCATACCAGTATGACATCTGCAACAAAATTGTGCCGTTGCTCAAGTTAAGAATATAATTTACTTCCAAATCTTCCTAACATTCCTGTGAGGTCCGTGTAATAAGACGATTTCTATTTGAAAATAAAAATATAGTATATGTATAGTAACTATATATAGTATAGTATTTGTCGATTGAGTATACATATAATTGACATTGTTTAGCGAGTCAAAAATATCTGACGTCATATTTGTATTGGACTTCGATTCGAATTTAGTTGAAGTCACATATATGTATGTTCTGTGGTTGAAGTATATTGTGAATTTTATTGAATGGGATTATTATTGATTATAATTATGTATAAGCTTCTTTATATGTTCTGTATGTATAACTATCCCTTTCTTATTTAAATGTACTTAACTTCACATGCCCTAAGTATTCCAAATAGACTATAAGAACAAAGAATGTAACATAAAAACCATTAAATGTAATACCTAACTCTATTTAAATGTGAATAAACCAATTTTGAATTTTGAATTAAAAAAAAACACTGCTTGCTGAAGTTGCAATGGTTTCGTGGTAATTAATCTATCAAATAGATACCTAAATATATATAGAGATATAATTTTTATAAATTTTATTTATACGGATGAGACTATGTGGTGGAAGCTAGTCTAGTAAGAATAACTGACCAATAGCGGTGTCTGCGGCGCAACAAGCGAGCCGACGCGGCCGATGGCGGAGCAGATGGAGTGCATGGAGTTCCTGGTGTAGGTGGGGAACAGCTCGGACGTGTACATGTACACGATGTTGTACGAGAACGTGGCCAGCATCTCGAACATCATGAACAGCGTCAGCCCCAGCCACGCGTAGCCTGCAACAATCACAGAATCCTTTCACATTCATCACCTTGCTGTGTATAATGCACTGCAATAATTGCTCGCTTCAATCACCTTTAGGCACGAAAGGCTGTGAGATACAAAATATCCCCCCAACCATGAAGGATGCGAGGAGTGGTATCTTCCTCTTGTACTTGGAGAGTGCCAGCCAGTAGAATACGTTGGCGGGAATGTCCATCAGCATCAGCAGGGAGAAGTTGACGTACTTGTTGCCGGCGATGTGAACCGCACTGATCATCATGCCGTAGTTAATCAGCGTTATAGTGAACCACCACACCATGCACACCAGGAACCTGCGCACAGACACAAATATCGTATATGTGACATAAGTACATGGGCGTAATACATGAAGACACTCATGAGCGGTCAGAGCCGACTCAGAAATGTAACGAAAAAACCGAAGTTTACAAAGAAATATAAGCTTGTTTATTAAGACCTCTATTTATTGCACGATTTGACAGAAACGTACTTCGTCATAGCCTGACCTTTGCATCATAATTCTTGATTTGAACGTCTTCATGAGTAACTTCCTGTCGCTGACGCCAGTCTTGGTCTCCTCGTCTGCGTAGTCCAGCTTGTCCAGCATGGTGCCGTCGATGTTCACGCCATTCCTCTTCGCAATCTTCTGTATCAGCTGCACCGCGCGTTCTTTCCTACCCTTGCTATACAGCCAGCGGATGCTCTCGTCCAAGAAGATGGAGTAAGTAAGGATGAGGAGTGTCGGGGCGTAAATGACTCGTAGAAAGTTCCTCCAGTAGGGCACCGCCCACGCAATGAACGGCATCACAATTAGGCCGCATGTGTAACAGTTCAGTAAAATCATTTGGAATAGAACAGCACGCTTTTTCTCCACTATTTCTATACCTGGATACAAAGAACAAAACTATAGGGAACACGTGATTTTGTAGCGTAGTTAATGTGTGAGTGTGGCCTGCATAGGACTCAACTCCGTGGGAAATGATGTAAGGCAGTAATTGAAATATACATAAACGACATTATTATAATATCGCGCAAACAATTAGGAGGGCCCCTTACTCAGCATGAACATGGGAGAGAGCGCGTCTCCAACAGCCGCTTCGAGCGCCTCCAGTACGACGTAGAACCAGAAGGAGGTGGCGAAGCTCTTGGTGAGACCCAGCGCGGCCCCCATCGTGCCTGCGAACACCGCCGCCGTCTTGCGGCCGAACCTGTCCGAGATCTGGCCCTGTATGAGCAGGCCCAGCATGTTGCCGAAGCTGTGCACGGTGCCCACCAGTGTCTGCTTCCAGTCGTCACACGCCAGCCCGAACTGGAACAAATACCACGTATAGTCGTATACTATTATAACAAGTCATAACTTGTTATATTAGCCAGCTATCTAATAATACATCGATAGCTATAACATTACGCATGTCTCATTAACGCCCTAATTATGAGGAAATTAATTCCCAGTTCGTCTGTCAACAAATGATGTCCAAGTCTGTCTGTAGGTGTGTACATATCAGTAAATATAGTAGCTGCATATATACACAGTGTTATCTATTTATATAGGTATGTGTCAGCTGTTTGACGAGCCTCTGTACTGTTTGCCCAGCTATTGTTAGTGCTTGTGCAATGTCATGCAGGATCGCGTCCATGTTTGTCTACTATTCAAGATAATTTAATTAAGCAATTAAATGTCATTCAAACAGTTACTTGGTCGAGATTCACCTCTATCTATCTCTTTAGAGAATAAATATTATGTTATATTTATACTTATTTAGGTAATATTAAGTATCTATTATTAGATTCGAATTTAATGTAAATAAATATTGGTGTCTATGTTCAGATGGTGACCGAGGTTACATCATTATATTCCGTTGTCAAACTGTAGTGCCTCGTACGGATATAATGAGTTCCAGACGATTTCTATTTCAATCAAGTCCAAAGGAATTCATTGTTCAATATATTATTATTATTTTTATTTATTTTTTAAAAAAACGTTGTCCCACACTAGGATTTTCTCCTGTGTCGTGGGTGCGTTTACAAACATACAAGTTCACATACACAATGACACCCAGACCCAAAACAACAATTTGTCGATCACACATTATAAATTTTATTTTCGGAACAAACGTAGGTACCATTGCCTCTAAACGTAGGTACCAACTAGGTAGTAAAGAATAACGGTTTTCATTTAATTAATAGAAGATTTACTTTGACGCGGTTCAAGCATACAGCTTTCAATTCTTTAAATGTGAACATGTTTATGAGACCGGCAGGGTGCATGGTGCTACTGGAATACGAGCTTAAGTATCTATAACGTGGTAGGCAGGCTACATTATTAACTACCATATTGTTTGTAAGCTATCGACCTCGCCACGTGGATACCTAGTACACGTTTTTAAATGAGTCAAATGATGAAATTATATAGAAATATCAACAGAGTTAAATGACCAATAACCTCTGCGGTGAAGCTGTCCGGCTTCTCGTACACCCACTGCGTGCAGAGCTCGTCCCCGGTGCGGTTGGAGAGCGCGCAGCCGGTGACCACGGGCGCCCGGCACTGCTTGAGCGGCTCGTCCGACCACTCCTGCGACTGGTTCAGCCACGGCACGCTGAACAGAGCGTCAGGCCCGTCGCACGAGGGTATCCGACATCTATGGAACCAATGTACTGGAACTATACCATTTGTGACAGTAGAGACGGTGGTGAAGTTTGTTTTGTAGGGGCTGTGTAAGTTTAGTGATCACTAAATTAACTTATGGAGTAACAGGTAATAAATAACATTATATCTATTTTAGGAGTGTGGCGCTTATAATAATATGAATACTCGTTTTATTTTAATGGCAGATTATAGATCATTATGGTAATTAACGTATTCGTATTGACATTAAGCGAGGATGGCTCCATGTTGTATTAATTGCTATTATTCTAACAGGCTTTGCCTACTTGTTGCTCAATCCGCCACTAGAGTCGACACAGGTGTAATTCTATATATAGGAATGTAGAATTGTGTTACAAAAACATAACATTATAATTATAGTACGTATCATAAAGTGAAAATAAGCGTTCGATGCGACTCCGTCTGTTACTTGTAAACAACTTTTACGACATTTTTACATTAACGTTGTGTTTGGAGACTTGGAGTGTGTGGATATGTTTGAAAATGATAAAATGTGGATGTGCACGACATATGAAGCAGCTACTGCAAGTGGTCAGCAGTCCTGAGATACGAGATGACACCTCACTTCTTCATGTGTCTTATGCATCGCATGAGTGTGTGTGTGTACCTGTAGCCGACGTCCCCGACGGCGAAGACGTAGTTGACGTTGTACATGGAGTTCGTGGCGTAGACCAGCGCCAGCATAGCCATGGTGACGGCCTGGTGGCGGCCGAACGCGCCCAGCTGTCCCAGCACCTCGTCCAGGTGCACGCGCTTTGACTCCGCGTTCAGCTCTGCCATGTTCCTCTTTCACTGCTAGCACAATAGTCAGTGTGCCTGGTCCGTGGGCACAGGTACTGCTGCCACTCGCACGTATCTCACTGTAACTCACTCTCCGCACCACTGCAGCGCTGGGACATGTCCTGGAGCCCGCGACTAGAGTACGATGTCGTCGTATCCACAGTTTGGCAATAAACGTGCGCCTGATAGGACTACTCGATAGCATCTAACATAATGAATATGTATGTTCTAAATTAATAAAACAAGTTTATAGCCGCGGTGGAAATGTCACGGGTACAGCAGTGGCACCGGCAGAGTAGTGCGAAGTAGTCTGCAGGAGGCGGCCGCTGGCCCCGCAGTGAGTGGCGCGCGCTATATGTGCGAGCTAATTAAATATTTATTGTGGGGTAGGCACGACGCTGATAACCACGAGGTTAACAACATTCAGTGCGGTATTGAAGAGGTGCTGCCTGTTAGTGTGTACGCCTGGCACTCTGCTGACACCACTAGCGCGCAGCACAATGACATGTCACAGTACGCGGCGCCGGCGCCGGCGACAGTCTCAAGTGACTGGTACTGCAGCTACATTCTGTAAGTCTGCGCTTTTCCTACATTGCATGGCGTAGCTACATCGTCACATTTTATATTATAATATCTATGTTATTAGGTATCACTATAAAGCCCGCCTGCTGGTTAGTTTTGTGATGTATCGACACGAGTTAGTAAATTCATACATACAATCTTTCTTAAAATTGAAAGCGCTGGAAAAAACAGACAAAAGAGCAGAGGAACGCCAGTCATCAACCATGTATACAAACATAAATACAGTTTGTCATTATTGTTTCTTAATTTTAACTTATCGATTGTTGTATATTTATTGTTTGTACCTAGTTTATCTTACATTCGTAAGATATCTAAAACTATTTTGAGTACATTTCAATTAGTATACTAGGTCAGTTCACTATCACGGTAAAGACAGGGATGGTCTGATGGAGAAACATTTATTTAACTCACAAATCGGGAATACTTAAATAATAACTGTCGTGGTGAGACAACCTAAATTAAAAAATATCGGTGTACTCGCGTAATTACACAATAGGTTGCGCGATGTCGTCGCCGCGCGAGGAAGAGTCCTCCTGTAACTTGAAACCAGTAGAGCTTTTCTAAATATATTTACGTGAGTAACCCGTTGTTTTTGGTGGAACGCAATAAGTATAATAAATTTTAATTACACTCATGTTCATTATGTGATGAATTATTTACCTAATTTTGGCTGTTCCTTATTGGGGGCTAATTCTCAATGCAATCGTGAGATGAAAACTAAGAAGTTAGTTAAATACATAGTTCGGTATATGCACTAATAAAAAATCAATTAAATTGTACCATTGTATCACGATAGAACTTATTTCGTCCCCTCCGAACTAGGGAAGACTGGCTGGCTGGCTATGAGTGATTATGATGTCCTCACTAAATTATATAATTACTAGCGACCCGCCCCGGCTTCGCACGGGTGCAATACTTATGTAAAAATACCTACTACAAAATGTCCTTATTCACCACGTTCACAGCTATTTTGTCATTAGACAATACAAACATGTTTTATATTGATATTTTCCTCGCTAGAGAGCTCCGATAAACGCGTGCGATCGTAGCAAGTCATGAAGTGCTCTAGGACGAAGCGCGGCCATCAACGCCGCAGGCCGCAACAAATACTGCATTTTAAATTTGTAATATCTTCGGAAATATTCACTTAAATTACATGCTGTAAAAAGTATATTGATCTATGATAAATGCACAATTTATTTAAAGTACTTTATTGGATAAGTATTAATGCTGTATTCTACAGAGGATTCTCTGACTCTCTGAACTCTACGTCTAACCCGATCCTGGCTGCGGCGAGCCTCACGCTCTATTGAGGATTCTCTTTCTCTCTCAGTTCTATTTCTATCTCGGAGCTGGCTGAGGCGAGCCTCACGTTCCGTTGACGATTCTTCATCTCTTGCATCTCTTCTGGCATTCACTGTACTACGACCTATGTTCGCACGACGCCGTCTTCCGGACATGACTTTATAATGTCTGTTCAAAATTTTATACTTAGGTACTCACTACTTGATTAAACTCACAACTTAAAACTATACGTATGATTATGAACTAATTGCACTAATATTATTGGTTAGTGCTGGAGTAAAAAATATTTACTTACTATTCGTTTGACTAAAAACAAAAGATTATCAACAACAAAATATACCTATTCTATTCAGTTCTTCTATGAACTTAACTATAATTTTCAATAATTGAAAATGCTCGCCCTAATACTAAATTGCCTTAACTCATAAATTCAAATCAAAGTCTTAATGGAAGAAATACCAAGAAATATGGTTTTATCAGTTTAATTAATTCTTGATATTTTCCTCGCTAGAGAGCTCCGATAAACGCGTGCGATCGCTGCAAATCATAAAGTGCTATAAGGCGAAGCGCGGCCATCGACGCGCTATTTATAGGCACGCGCCGCCCGGCGCAAACAACTACGACCCTGCATTTTAAATTTGTAATATCTTCGGTAATATTCACTTAAATTACATGCTGTAAAAAGCATATTGATCTATAATAAATGCACAATTTATTTAAGGTACTTAAATGGATAAGGATTAATGCTGTATTGTTTAAAATCACTTCGTAAATAACCATTTTTTAGTAAAGAATAAAAATGGTTATGCTGGGTTATCCCTAAGAGATAGACATATACCATCGCAGACTTTTTTGTTGAACTTTTTAAGGTGAACAATACTGTAGTACATTATTTTGGTCTATCTCGTAGGGTTCAGCCAGCGTTTGCAATATAAGCGCAAAAAAACGTGCTTATTTACGACATCACATTAGAAACCTTTAAATTTATCAGTGTTTCTCTACTATATTATGCATTTATTATACATACAAACCTTCCTTAAGAATCATTCTATCTATTAAAAAAAACCGCGTCGAAATCCGTTGCGTAGTTTTAAAGATCTAAGCATACATACGGACATACAGCGAAAGCGACTTTGTTTTATACTATGTATTGATATTCAGACGATGAGTGTTGGCAAGGCTTATGTAGCATGGCTTATGTAGTTACTCAATGTGGTCGTTGCTTTGATGAAGATATGAATTCGTAAGGCAATACCTTAACAAGCAGGAATTTGGAGCCTTAATTTTATTTCGCTAGTCCTGCTCCGGAGCCCCGGCCGTGTAACGCCTGTTACGACACTACCCTCGGGGTCACTGGTACCTATTCCTTACATAGTAGTCTTCTGAACTGTAGCAATATAGAATTATATTAAAACTTTCGTGAGACATACGAAAATAAATTATTATGTGTAAACTGGTCGAGTTCTTCGTTAAACAAAACATAATAATTAATTCTACAGTTTGTTAGGGTTTGTTATCTACGATTTCTAGCTAGAGAGATGTATCTAGTAACAAAACTCGTGTAGGTGGGTATAGAGATGTTGGGAGTGGCGCTCTACGGGGACATCTAAGGGTGGTGGCATCCGTTGTACCACCAATCAAGATTCGTTGTTCTCTTTGAGTTTGAAGCAGCATTTGTTGTACAACTATGTAACTAGCGGCAGCAGTGCTAGAGGTAGCACTCGAGGTGTGCATGGCGTGTGACGCGGCACACACGCACTTATCTAAACACGTAGTATGTAGAAGCGCGTGGACCGCACAGGAACAAATAACATAACTCAAACACATCGGAGTTACAACATCGAGCGCCACATCACTCCTTAAATATATTGTTTGTGTTTGTCCTCATTATTAAGTTATTGTACCAAATCTAAATACAAACAGTACGCAAAAATATATATCCGTTGGAGCCTTGCATGAATCTTGTTTGACTTTAGTCATCATCATGATGTATAGCTACTGAAGGTTAAGAGATATTAATTACACTGCCATGTTACTTACACGTGGGCAACACCGGCCGGGTGTCAGTATGCACCGCGTGGAACTGAGATTCACAGCACTTCAAGCTGACTATGCAGTACGATAGTACTTAGTGACTGTAGGCGGACGGCGTGACCGCAGTTCATACTGTTAAATCCTCAGTTTAACCTTTGATTCGAGAAAGTGTTCGAAATTGTGTATTGCACAAAGTCTAGATTTTTATATTATTTTTTATTTAATTTTTAGAATTTGCATACTCTCCCAACTTGCGCCGGCCCGATTTTCGCCGGACCACTATCCTTATATTTAAAGAAGAACGTGCACATATTCATTATCATACCATAACATCAAATTTGTTTTGTGTTTTTATGGTATAGGACGGTAAAAGAGCAAACGGATCGTCAGATGGTCAGAAACCATGTGTAGGCTTATGTAGCTCTCTTTCGAATGACTGATTTGTAAATATTTATATATACCTTATAAATATTGACCTTAGTAGCAAAGTCAAAGCCACAGCATTTATGCCAACTAAATCACGAACAGGTACTACTGAAATGTCAACAAATAAAAAATTAAATAATTGCCTGTCAGTCTGTTCGTCAGTGAAATTACCTCTGATGTACAAGAAATATACTACAAAAAAATTCGCTAAAGTTACATAAGCAACTTAGAAAATTAATGAAATGCCACAAAACGTTTTCATGTAAAATATTGCCGAGACTACAACTCGTAGCGCGCAGTACGTAACCCGTAGCGCGTAGTACGTAGCCCGTAGCGCGTAGTACGTAGCCCGTAGCGCGTAGTACGTAACCCGTAGCGCGCAATATGCTGCGCGAGCTCGTTGTGCGTTGTTCTATGCTACGCTCTATGGACTACGGCTGTAGTATTTTGCAGCAAATAATAAGGAGTAGAAATAAGGTCAATGGATTTAGGGATTGTAACATAGGGTTAGTAATTTGCCTCTACATGAGTTCTGATTACTTTTTAACTGTACCAGATGTATAGTTTCGTTTTGGCACCATTTTACCCAGGAAAAGGTTTTTATGGATCATTGTTTCAATGACAAGGCGATACGAGTACACGTTACCGAACGT